AATTCATCAATTACACATTTTGAAGGATGAAAGACAAACAAAATTTGGTTGTATATTTGACGCGTGTCAATATGACGAAGTGTAAAGATCGGAAAGCGAGTTCATCAAGTAATGGATTTTAGATCGCAGCTCTTAGGCGCCCGTTTCCGCGTTAAGCGGTGTCGGTATCGGCATCGGTGTAACCGCCCCGTTAAATTTAGCGGAAATTGATTCTGTCTATGTCAAGTCACGTCAATTTTCTCGCTAAATCTAGCGGTGAAACTAATTTTGTTCATGTTGCCCCGGTAAAGTTAGCGGGTAAACACGAAGCGCTAGTTTACTGAAGATGCAAGAGGCTACTCCGTCGTCCCGAATACTTTTCCCTTCGAACGGCTGCGAAGCCGTTGCGCAAGGTGTACTCTACGCAGCATCTTTCAAAAGCCGTTTGCGCAGCATCCCAACCTTCCCTTTGCGAGCGTCGGCGATTCATCGTGTGTTGAAAGTCGGAAGATGGGCTGTCCATGGTGTCTCTTATGTGTAACTCTTTCGTAAAAAAGACTGAAGTTTAAAAACCCGAATTTAACAGTGTACACATAGAAACACATTGAGTGCGCTGGCGAGCTGGTGGAAGGTGATCTTGATGTAGAATACCCCAGACTGTGGTAAAAGCTGGGAAACTTGGTCGGAAAAAAGACAGGGGAAAGGAACGTCTCAAACTCAGCTACTTTTTTACAGTGGTAAGTGAACGTGCAACGAGTCATTTTGTGGACAGGGGTTCAGTTGAAGGACATATTAGCTCTCGTTTAGATAAAGCACAGGCCTTTCAGACTCCGGCTGGAAAGGAAGTGGGTCGGTACGTTTGTTTTGTTCAAGGTCCCGAGTTTTCAGTATGGGATTGAGGTAAGCGTTTACGGTTCAGTTCAAGACCAGTGTGGGTAGGATAGTATAACAAAGATTAAATTTGTGATGATGGTGGTCAGCGATTAGGTTCTTGATATAAAAGGCTTTGAGGAAATACGAATGCAGTAGCTGAGTTTGAGACGTTTTTTTCCCCGTCTTCTTTCTTCGACCAAGTTTCCCAGCTTTTACCACAGTCTCGGGGATTCCACATGATGACCATTGTACACATAATTTTAAATTTATAGGTAAAAAAGAACATATATATTTATTGATTTAATTATATCTGGACATCGTGCGAGAAAAAAAGACGCGCTTAGTTTTTTATTTAAAATTGTAATGTGTGTTATACGGCGTAAAACATTGTATCTTTAAACTTGCATTGTTTTGGGTCACTTTTGGGCTCGACAGCATCTTGGGAAGTTCAAAGGCCAATCGTGTCTTCGGTTAGGGTCACGTGACGACAGTCTAGACGCTGGTAATAAGGCAGAACACGGCACCTGCCCGAAGCCCCAGGCCACACATTGTATCACTGTACTATCAGCCTTGGGTATAAGTGATAAATCCTCTCGTTGTGGTCATTGTTGGGATGCCCCAAAAAATAACCCTTTCGTGTGTGCACTCCAGTTTTGGACTTTTGTTTTCTACTTGTCTCGATCTCCCTAAACTAAAAGAGTGGCTGAAGGTGAACACTTGCCGATCCAATCCGTCGTAGACTTTATCGCTTGAATTCCCTCTCTGCGCGCGCGAAATGGTGGAAGCGTGATCGCGTCGTGTGCGGATGACGCATTAGCCATTGGCATTGTGCAATTTCCGAATGCCTGTTTGCCGAACTAGTATGGCGTGACATGGCTGCTGTGGGTTCTGCTTCTGCACTAAATGGTATCTCGTTCGAAAAGTGCTAGCCGTGTATCGGCAACAAGCGATTTCTTCAAAGAAGCCCAAGACGTTTTTGTGATCTGTTTAGTGTTCGGGTCCACAAATGACAGCGTGTGCTACATCGTGTTGAATCTTCACGGACACCGTCCTTCTCGTTTCTGTGTTTGAGGGGCTGTTCTTCCATGCCCGTGTCGACATATATCTCGGATTACACCTTTCAAATCCGGTATCATCAATGGAAGTGCTCTGCAAAGTACTTCGCGACAAATGATCATTTTTCTACAGGTACTCTTCCAGATCACCTCTAGAATTAGGCCGTGTCTATCTCCTGGCAGCCGGGCAAATAATTGTTTTTTTAATTCTACGAGCAGTAACCTGCCATAGGCCGTCCGATGTCATGTCACGACTGAGGGTAAAATACTGAATTGTTTATTCTCCCTACGTTTCGTGATAACACGTTCCACGGCCACCTTTTCGTGCATACACGTTTCATAGAGACACGTTTCGTCCTCAAACTCTACGCGAATGTCGATAATCCTGCTTTCCTTGGGAACCCAGTTGAGCGAAATCAGGCGTGGCGTAAAGCAGTCCATGTAAAAGTTAATAAAAGTTGGTACATGCTCAATATCCAATTCGCATTTTTGTTATTCAGGTGAGAAATCACTTCTGGTAAATATTTGTAGAAAACAACAATATATAAAGGTTTCCTTATTTGATTGGGACATATAGGGCTGCATATAGGAGGCAGATACGTGTTGTTGCGAAAGGCCCCAGGAGACGACCTTGCCCTACCAAACCGACCGGCACGGGTGATCGCCCTGGAGCATCGTCGCCAGGTGGCTACGGTCAGCTGTACCCGGAGACAAAGCGAGAGGTGCCTTGGAGCCGTGAACGAACCTTGGTACACGGGGACGACGTGACCTTCTCCAAAGGATCATCGGGTTGACCCACGCCAGTGTCATCAGGCCGTCTTTGCCGTCCGGCCCCTCTCCTTCCTTCTTCTGTCTAACCTCGACGCACGTCGACCCGACAGCCTTGGGACGTCCTTGACAAAGCAGGGGCTTTACTCAATATCCCCAGCTTAGATCGCTCATGGGATTATCCCCTAGCACACGGAAGCCAGGACGCCTGCAATTATGGATGTCTTCCGCCTTCCTCGACTTCGATAGCACCACTGTGCGCTCACATTAACCGGCGACACCGCGGCCAAGGATGTCTGGCCCTTCCTGTGTGTGCCGCGTGCGGCCGTGTGAGAGAGAGGGGAAGGGCATCCCTGAATGTTAGGGACACTGGCCCCACAGTCTTGGTGAAGGCCTGAACCCTGGGAACTCCCTACTAGGGGTGTTGGGAAAAGTGACGTTGTAAAAGCAGCAGCAGGCGGCTGCTACCTTGTGCTCTCGACAGTGTTTTCAAGTGTTCTTTCGCCAAATGATGTAACGTGTCCATATCTGTATATAAAGAGTTATATACGAGAAACCCCTCCTGCTCCATGGTCCTTCCCGAGTCCGGCCTGCACAAGAGTTCCTGCCCTGGCTCGGCTCGGTGCCATACCCAAAGCGCCCGGACAACCACGCGGTCCCAACCACTGGATGGTAGCGGTGGGATCGACTTCGCCTGACCGTGACTTCTGGTATGGGTGAGTGCCTGGCCCTTTCTTTCTCAATCTGCCAGACCCATTAGCTCTAAGTTTTGCGTGTGGGGGTTGCAGATAGTCGTTGTCAGAAGGACCTTGTGACCGTTCTGACGCGAGCATTTTGTAAGATAGAGGGCCAACACAAGCTAGATCATGAGCCTAGAGGCATTCCGCTTGAACGAGTTGCTACAAGTCTACCGAATTGGGTATCGATTTGGGGCAGATAAAAAGAAAGCCGCACATTATAGAATTCCTTCAGGCCGAAGACGTCAGCGTTGAGGAGTTCACTGAGGCTCTGGAGGGGGTTCACGGAAGGGAACGGGAGGTGCGCTGGAGCAAAAAACAGGCCGAAGAAGAGGAACGCAAAAAGCGGGCCGCCGAGAAGGCTCCCGACACAGCGAGATGGGAGCTCCCGAAGCGCGAGTATACGCGCGAAATGGATCGGCTCGAGTACGTGTTCGAGCAGCTCGAGCTCGTGAAGAAAACGCGGGAGTTGGAGTGTATTCGTCGGGCGACCACTGGCGTTGAATGGGTGACAAAAAAGGCGTGTCAGGGAAAAGAGAAAGTGGGAGCTGGGGACACAGAGATGACCGAAAACCAGCGTCTTTCTCCCGACACGACTGTCGCCGTGCTTCGCAAGCCCGACCCAAACTCGCCGCGGCGGGACGGTGAAAGTGACGAGGAGGCAGCAACAGAATTGGTACTTCGGGAAAAGAAGAAAACGGAAGCTGGGGACGCCGAGGTAACCGGAGACCAGCGTGTTTCTTCCGACGCGACCGAAGCTGTTCCACGCAAGAGCGGCGCAGTTACGCACGAAACCGACCCCGAGCTGCGGAAGAGAGAAGAGAAGGATCTTCGGGGCGTCTGGCGAACGACTTCCTGGATGACGAAGGCGACGCCAAGACAGAGACAACGCCGGGGAGGTCCACCCAGCTGATGGAAAGCAGTGCCGAGAGGCAGGAGATAGCGGTTCAACAATCAAGTCAGGATCCTGACCGCTTTGATCGGCACCCGTTTGGCTTTGGGAACAACCCCACAGCGCCGTCGCAGAAGTCCACGTGGCTCACCAGGAGGGAGGTGATTGGGATTTCCTTCGACGAGATTAACCGCGCATGCATGGTGCGGTTGCGGAGGCCGGGCTCCAGACCATTCAAGGAGTCCAGGTGCCAGGAGAACATCGGCGAGCACGCGTTCGGCAGAAAGTCAACATCGAGGTTGGAGGACGGGAGACCCCAAAGACGGCCACCCCGGGGGCCCTGCAACCGGCGGCGGGGTCGCGAACAAGGGACCCACCGGGGATACGATGGAGCCCGGGCGGTACAAAGCAAATCCGACGCAAGTGCGCCTGACGACGTTGTCGTGCTCGCAGCATGGTGGATCTGAGACCAAGAACTCCGATGCCGTTATGAGCAAACGACCGAGACCGAAAAGGAAGAGGCAGCGCCGGATCAGCGTAGTATGTTCTGGCAGAAACGCTTGCTGCAAAGAGCGTTAATGCAAGCGCGACAAGCGCCACTTCAGGAGAAACGGTCCTTGAGGCTGAGAGGGGGAAAACTCTACGACCCCCATCCCAACCAGCCACGAACCCAAAGCTCAAGTGCGAGCAAGGAGCATGGAGGAGACAACAACGAGCCCGGAACTACTCAGCGAGGTTCGAGACGGAGTCACAGCTCATTGCCTGTGGTTCATCACGTCGGACTTGGAGACCAAGAAAGATCTTCGGGACTGCAACTTCGTGCCTGCAGTCAAGTCCAAGGAGAAAAACTTGAACAGTCCGAGTGAAACCAAGAACATACTAGGCGTGGGTTAGATGCAAAGAAGGACTTTCGAGGGAAAAGGGAAGGCTAAACTTTTTTTTTTTTGTGTGTGTAATTGAGTCGACTAGGTAATTCGGCAAGGTTATTAGCTTTTTTTTTCGGGAGTTCGAGTTTTGCGTTTCGTTCGGCTTTAGCTTGTTGTATTGGCGGTAAAGTTCCTTTAAAACGGTTTTCTGCTCGGTAGAGTTTGCATCATGGAGGACGTGCTCGAATTTAATAGGGATATGCCCTATGTGAGTTACGTTACGATTTGTAATGTTTTTTTGTTTTTTTTTCACGGGATCCTCTTTTATTTTGGGTTGAGCGTTGGAGATTGTCACGATCTTTCTCGAACGTGGACGAAGGGGGCCGAAGCACCCGCCGAGAAGAGACGACACGCAGCCTGGTTGTGAGGGTGGACGATGTCTGGCCGGAGTACGTGCGCTCAACGGCGTTTATTGGTGTGATGAACAATGTTGCCCGCCGAGCCAGGCGGCCGCAGACGGGCGGACTGGAGGGGGGCGCCACTAACTTGTCACACTCCTCCCCCCCAGTTTGTTTGTTATAAAACAAAACTAAACACAATGCGCACGGCCGACACCATCTCGGTGTCTGGTCATGCGAAGTCCCGGCCTGTCGACGATGAAGGTCACCCCGGCGAGTAGCGGTCAGGTGGCCTCCGCTGCCGTGCACTCCGCCTGGGCACTGGTGTCGACGGGCCAGGTGTGGCAACGCCGAGCGCTGCCTGTCCCGGTCGCGCTCCACCCGGTGGAGCTGCAGGGACCAGATTTTGGAGTGGCACCGGTCCAACTGGTGCCGCAGGACTAGAGACTCTTGTTGCCTCCGTGGTGGGTGGCGCTCCGCTGGCCACGACTGGTGCTGTTGGGCCCCCTGCAGGCTGGTCCTCGAAGCGACGGCCGAGGGTGGAAGCCAGGTCCCGAGGCGAGGCCTGACATGGTCGGCGTGCCGGTGCCAGGTGGTCCCGTCGGGCATGCGGACGAGCAGCGACGAGGCACTCGCTGGTGAAACCACACGCCCGGCAGACCAGGGTGGGCCAGGACGGAAGTTCCTGGCGTACACCGACGCTCCCGGCTCCGGCAAAGGCCCGGGACGGCACCCTCGGTCAGCAGCCAGCTTCTGCTTCAGCTGCTTCAGGAGCGCCGTGGACCGGAGGTCTGGATGCAAGACGTCCAGGGGTGTCTTGACCATCCGGCCCAGCAGAAGCTCGCAGGGGGCACGGCCAGTGACCTCGTGGGGTGCGGTCCGGTACTGGAACAGTACCCGGGCCACCTGCGTTCGGAAATCCCCGGGCTGGCTCTTCTTGAGCTTGTCCTTGATGGTCTGGACCACCCGTTCAGCTGCACCATTGGAAGCGGGGTGGTACGGCGGAACCAGCATCCGGCGGATCCCATTCCTCTGCAGCCAGTCGAGGTACTCGGCGCTAGCGAAAGCGGGACCATTGTCGGACACAATGATGTCCGGCAATCCCTGCGCCGCGAAGACCTGCCGCAGAGCCGCAATGGTCGCGCTTGCCGATGGACTGGTGACTGGCAGTGCCTCCACCCACTTGGAGAAGGCGTCCACTACCACCAGGAAGTAGTGGCCCTTGAAGGGTCCCGCATAGTCCACGTGCAAGCGGGACCACGGCCTCTGTGGAACGGCCAGGGGGTGATCTCCACGTGGCGCGAGGCTCGCTGGTTCTCCTGGCAGACCTGGCAGCCTTGCACCTGGTGCACGATGTCCTGGTCCAGGCCAGGCCACCAAACGTGCGACCGTGCCACCATCTTGGTCTTTTCGATGCCAGGGTGCCCCGCGTGCAGCAACTGCAGCACCTTGGCCCGCAGACTTTGTGGAATCACCACCCTGGAACCCCACAGGAGGCAGCCCTGCTCCAAGCTCAGCTCGTCGTCCTCGTCGCCAGTGTCACGATCTTTCTCGAACGTGGACGAAGGGGGCCGAAGCACCCGCCGAGAAGAGACGACACGCAGCCTGGTTGTGAGGGTGGACGATGTCTGGCCGGAGTGCGTGCGCTCAACGGCGTTTATTGGTGTGATGAACAATGTTGCCGGCCGAGCCAGGCGGCCGCAGACGGGCGGACTGGAGGGGGGCGCCACTAACTTGTCACAGAGATCTTTTACTAGTCTGCAGAAGTTTCTTTCGCTAGAGCAACCTGTCGGAAGAAATAAGTTTCTTTGTGCGTGTCGTTTGTTGATAGAATAGAACGGAATTTTCGCGAGGCATTTTTTTTCGGTTGTTGGCTTTCGTCTGGCAGATTGGAAAGATTGGGGGCAGGGCGCTTGCCTGCGCGGAGTTTGGTTTGGTGTTGTTGGTCTTTGTGACTGCCACTTCCCAGAGTGAACCCCGGCCTGGACCTCAGTCGCCAGCCCAGCCGTGAGATTGCGTCTTTCAAGGGACCAGTGTGAACTGCTCCCCCTCAAAACACTCTTCCTGTCGGCGAAGGAGCTGTTGCGAAAGGACCCAGGAGACTACCTTGCGCTCCCAAACCGACCGGCACAGGTGATCGTTTGGAGCATCGTCGCCATGTGGCTACGGTCAGCTGCACCCGGAGACGAAGGGAGAAGCGCCTTGGAGCCGCCAACGCACCTTGGTACGCGGGGACGACGTGACCTTCTCCGAAGAATCATCGGGTTGACCCACGCCAGTGTCATCAGGCCGTCTTTGCCGTCCGGCCCCTCTCCTTGCTTCTTCTGTGTGAGCTTGACGCACGGCGACCCGACAGCCTTGGGACGTCCTCGACAAAGGGGGGGGGGGGGCTTTACTCAATTTCTCCAGCTTAGATCGCCCGTGGGATTATCCCCTAACACACGGACGCCAGGACGGGGGGGGGGGCTTTACTAAATTTCTCCAGCTTAGATCGCCCATGGGATTATCTCCTAACACACGGACGCCAGGGCGCCTGCAATTATGGATGTCTTCCGCCTTCCTTGACTTCGATGGCACCATTGTCCACCGACATTGTCCGGCGACACAGCGGCCAAGGATGTCTGGCCCTTCCGTGTGTGTGCCGCGTGTGGCAGTGTGCGAGAGAGGGGAAGGGCATACCTGAATGTAAAGGACACTGACCCCACAGTCTTGGTGAAGACCTGAACCCTGGGGATTCCCTACTAGGGATGTGGGGAAGAGTGACGTTATAAAAGCAGCAGCAGGCGGCTGCTACTTTCTGTTCTCGACAGTGTTCTCTAATGTTCTTTCGGCAAATGATGTAACGTATCCATATGTATATATAAAGAGGTACATAAAGACACGCCTCCTGCTCTCTGGTCCTTCCCGAGTCCGGCCTCTACATGATCTCCTGCCCTGGCTCGGTTCCCTGCCGTACCCAAAGTGCCCGGACACCACTCGGTCCCAACAGTGTAACCCTATTTGACCGACCCAGATATGGATATATAAAAAATTGGATATGTCTTGCCAGATAAGCCTTATATAAACTGATATGCTCTATTCGGCCAGATATGCCCAATTTTTCATATAAATGCATCTGTTTTCTCTCAATATCAGTCCAGATGTGCCATTCTTATAAGGGGTGGCAGGACACATCTCAATTTTTTTGCTAAATAGCAGGTAAGCTAGACTTATGCCTAAATGACGTGACATCAAGACATATAACGTCATTTTCCCTGCTGAATTTACAGGGGAAATTGAATGAGTGTCTGAAGTCAAGTGACATGAAGTCATGTGACATCAAGTTCGCACGAAAATATAGCTCGGAAACGGAATTTGTGTGGAGGCCACATGACATTATGTGATGTCATTTTACCGCTCAAGTAGGCAGGGATACTTAGTTTGTGAGTAGGTAATGGAACATGGCCACGTAGCGTCAATTTTCCGCCAAATGCAGCGGAGAAACGACATTTGTGTATACGTCACGCGAGAGAAAATCATGTGACATTGTTTGCTCATTAAATGTAGCGAGGAAAAATAATTAGGGGAGATCACGTGACGTTAATTTTCCCGCTAAATCTAGTGGAACAACCGAATTTCTGTATAGGTCCCGTGTCATCACGTCATATGATGCCATTTTACCCGCTCAATTTAGCGGGAAAACCAAACGGGCATACACCTACCTCAAAGTGGCCGGATGATTGCTTTAAAGGATATATAACTTTTAATTGATTTAACCCTTTGCTGCACCTTGTTGCATATTTGCAACATAGCAATAAACGACAATAAAAACATCTACAAAATGCAATTAGTGCTGGCTCGGCACGTTGCTGCATTTCCGCAATATACATCCGCGAGGCGAGCCGTCCAGTGCTGCCATCTGTACTCAGGCGGCGAAACTGCTCTCTAAAAAGCATGACAGCCGCCACGTGAACGCTCAACAAGTCACACAGGTAAGCCTAGGCTACTGTATATTACTTTCAATACGGTGTAGCGCAAAACAAAACTTTTGCCACTGAACTCTATGTCCTGCTGATCATGTAAATACTAAAAGCCTTAAGATTATCGGCGAAGTTTGTCTTTAGAAGCAAAAAATAGCTATGTTGCACATATGCAACAATGTGCACGACGGTGTTTTTTCTTCATCGAGCAGACACGAATGATCTCAAATGGTGTTACAGCCGTTAAATTCTTTCGGACAGCAGGGACAGCGAGCTCTCCAGCAGTGACGATGTCTCTGATTATAAGTTGATGTTTTTTCTGAAAATTCAACTCTTTTTTATGTAGAAAAAAAATTACAAGCAGTGTAGGCTTTATTGACAGAGATTATCGGAAGATACAATCCTTCGTCAAGTGTAACTATACAACAATGGCAAAGTTGTAGGTTTGTTTTTATGTTTCAAAGAGCACCCTTAGAACCATTAGAAAAGATAATCCCCTATACAATGTAAAATTTCACTCCAAATTATTTATTTTACTGCCCGTTGTATTCGTTGTATGTGATGCTGTTATTCTCTGTACCCCAGATGTCCAGCCCCTGCAAACTGTAGTGCCAGTTCCAGCGAGGCGAGTACAAGCTCTGATGAAGAGGAAGCTCTCGCAA